ATTTCTCCACCCCCAAGCCCCCGAAATTCCAAAAAAAATTAAAAAAAATTTGAAAAAAATCTTAAAAAATCACCCAAAAAATTAAAAAAAAAAAAACCCAAAAAATTATAAACAAATTATAAAAAAATCCCAAAAAATCCCCAAAACCCCAAACCTTCCCCGATTGTGGCTCCAAAAGGAATTCCCGGAAATTTCTCCACCCCCAAGCCCCCGAAATTCCAAAAAAAAATAAAAATATTCGAAAAAAATCTTAAAAAATCACCCAAAAAATTAAAAAAAAAAACCAAAAAAATTATAAAAAAATTATAAAAAAATCCCAAAAAATCCCCCAAACCCCAAACCTTCCCTGACCCTCGCTCCAAAAGGAATTCCCGGGAATTTCTCCACCCCCAAGCCCCCGAAATTCCAAAAAAAATTAAAAAAAAATTTGAAAAAAATCTTAAAAAATCACCCAAAAAATTAAAAAAAAAAAAACCCAAAAAATTATAAACAAATTATAAAAAAATCCCAAAAAATCCCCAAAACCCCAAACCTTCCCCGATTGTGGCTCCAAAAGGAATTCCCGGGAATTTCTCCACCCCCAAGCCCCCGAAATTCCAAAAAAAATGAAAAAAAAATTCGAAAAAAATCTTAAAAAATCACCCAAAAAATTAAAAAAAAAAACTAAAAAAATTATTAAAAAATTATAAAAAAATCCCAAAAAATCCCCCAAACCCCAAACCTTCCCTGACCCTCGCTCCAAAAAGAATTCCCGGGAATTTCCCCCCCCGGAATTCCCGGAATTCCCGGGATTTGCTCACCATGAAGACGAAGATGCTGAGGCAGCTCCAGCCCAGGGCGGCGTGGTACCCGGCGGAGCCCAGGAGCAGCCCCGACAGCAGCCCCGCGATCATCCTGCCCAAAATTCCCCAAATTCCCAAAATTCCCCATGGAATCCACCAAATCCGGGGTGAAAACACAAAAATTCGGGGTTAAAACCCCAAAATTTGGGGTAAAAACTCCAAAATTCGGGGTAAAAACTCCAAAATTTTGGGTAAAATCCAAAAATTTGGATAAAATCCCCAAAACTTGGAATAAAAGCCCCAAAAATTGGGATAAAACCCTCAAAAATTGGGATAAAACCCCCAAAAATCCCAAATAAAACCCCAAAAAATCCAAATAAAACCCAAAAAAATCCCAAATAAAACCCAAAAAAATCCAAATAAAATCCCCAAAAATCCAAATTAAAACCGAAAAAATCCCAAATAAAACCCCAAAAAATCCAAATAAAACCCAAAAAAATCCAAATAAAATCCCCAAAAATCCAAAATAAAACTGAAAAAATCCCAAATAAAACCCAAAAAAATCCAAATAAAATCCCCAAAAATCTAAAATAAAACCCCAAAAATCCCAAATAAAACCCAAAAAAATCCAAAATAAAACCAAAAAAACCCAAATAAAATCCAAAAAATCCAAATAAAACCCAAAAAAATCCAAATAAAATCCCAAAAAAATCCAAATAAAACCCAAAAAAACCCAAATAAAATCCCCCAAACTCCAAAATAAAACCCCCAAAATTCCAAACAAAGGCCCCAGGGCCCCGATCCCGACGGAGATTCCCGAATTCCCCCGGAATTCCGGGCTCACCCCACGTATTTGTATCCGGCGAGCGCCACCACGTCGGCCGGGCCCAGCTGGGACGCGCCGGGAGCCAAATGCAGCGCCAGGAGCTCGCTGAGAACCTCCAGCAGCAGCCAGGCCAGGGCCGAGCTGGCTGCCAGCCCCAGGCTGTCCGGGGAAAACCTGGGAATTCCATGGGAATTCCATGGGAATCTGGGAATTCCAGAATTTGGGGTTTGGGGTTTGGGAAGGTCGGGGTTAATGGGAACGGAGCCAGGCCAGGGCCGAGCTGGCTGCCAGCCCCAGGCTGTCCGGGGAGAACCTGGAATTCCATGGGAATTTGGGAATTGGGAATCCCGGAATTCCAGATTTCTGGGGTTATGGGGTTTGGGAAGGTCGGGGTTAATGGGAACGGAGGATGAGGAAGATGAGGATGAGGATGAGGACAGGATGAGGATGAGGAAGATGAGGATGAGGAAGATGAAAATGAGGATGAGGATGGGAACAAGAAGGGGATGAAGATGAGGATAAAGAGAACGAGGACAGCAAGGGGATGAGGATGAGGATGAGGAAGATGAGGAGGACAGGATGAGGATGAGGAAGATGAGGATGAGGAGGACAGGATGAGGATGAGGAAGATGAGGATGAGGAAGATGAAGACGAGGACAGGATGAGGATGAGGAAGATGAGGACGAGGACAGGATGAGGACGAGGACAGGATGAGGATGAGGAAGATGAGGATGAGGACAGGATGAGGATGAGGACAGGATGAGGATGAGGAAGATGAGGATGAGGAAGATGAGGATGAGGAAGATGAGGATGAGGAAGATGAGGATGAGGATGAGGAAGATGAGGATGAGGACAGGATGAGGACGAGGACAGGATGAGGATGAGGAAGATGAGGATGAGGAAGATGAGGAAGATGAGGATGAGGACAGGATGAGGATGAGGAAGATGAGGATGAGGAAGATGAAGATGACGATGAGGACGAGGACAGGATGAGGAAGATGAGGATGAGGACGAGCGCGAGGCCGAAGGTCCGTACCTGTTCTGGGTGCCCAGGGCCAGCCCGGCCAGCAGGATGTAGGTGAGGAAGGCCATGGCTGCGGAGGAAGGACAGCGAGCTCGGGGACTGGGGGAATTCTGGGGATATTCCGGAATTCTGGGAGATTTTGGGAGGATTTGGGGGATTTTGGGGGATTTTGGGGGGATTTTGG